TATGCAGGGGAAAACAGGAAAAAATCAACCCTAACATCAACAATAAGAGGATCTAAACAATACATTAAACTTAGTAAAGATAAGAAAACAGGGTGAAAAACGACAGTCAATTACTGAAAACTGCTGACGAGTGGACGGAATAATTGCAATCTCTGGAGTCGAGATACTGAATATAACATCAATCAGCTAAGTGACAAATCTATTAATCCTATATATATATATATATATATATATATATATATATATATATATATGTATGTATAGAGAGAGAGAGATAGAGAGAGAGAGAGAGAGAGAGAGAGAGAGAGGTGCGATATTGTTGTGGACCCGGAAGAGGTCCGCAAGAAAACTCAAACTCAGCAATTCAGTGCAAACGTCTTATTAACAAAAAGAACGAATACAGAATTGATGCACGTCCGACTGACGGCTAAGTGCAGTAGTCAACTCGTCATCAATATTTAACGCCCCCCCACGAGGAATGTATGTAGCACAAGGCCGGGTTTAATGTGGGTTTCTCCGAGCCCGTATGCTCGGTCCAAAAATATAGCCTTTGAACCCGCCTAGAGGGGTTCAGGGCCTGTCTACCTCCCCGGACGAAGCTTTGCCGAAGGGCAAAGTTTCGTCCGGGTTCCTCTCTGCCAAAGCAGAGAGTTCGACAGAAGTCGTACACGTAGTCAACCGTAGTCAACTCGTCATCTCCCTACAGTCCTCTTGCGAGGTATAATATAGTCATATATATATATATATATATATATATATATATATATATATATATATATGAGTTGAAGATCAAATGTAGATCAAATATGGACCCGACAGGATGATAGAATAAAAGAACAAGTAGGAAACGTGTATCAATTTTCTTAAACCATAATTCTTGAAAGCTCGTCTAGAAGAGAACACCTGTAGTTTGGCCAGAGTCATTATTAATTAAGTACATTTTATATATATATATATATATGTGTGTGTGTGTTTAGAAGGTATAATAGCAACCGAAGCAAAAGAGAAGATGATTAGACAAAATGGGAAATTTATTAGCGACTCGTTTCGCCGTGAGCGTCAGCTCTTTTTGTCTCTTTGACGGTGGGGATGAAAGAAAGACGAAACTGTATCATGGATCTCTAAGGATAAATGGGGACGATAAATCAAATTAAATCAGATTACCTTATTACCTCCCAATGTCTGTTTATTATCTATTATGAATCCTTTATATATATATATATATATATATATATATATATATATATTGTCATCCACAGACAGACTGTTACGCTGTATCACAACTCATCAGTGTGTCTAGCTAGGATCGAAACCCGGCTGAACTAACGTCAGTCGAAGATTTTACCCCTAAGCCGTTGGCGCACAGCAGGGAAGAAGGTGAATTTTAAGCGTATTTATCTTTAAACACACAGTGACCGAGAGAACTCGATTCGCTTTACCGAAGAGTTTTGCATTATCGGCCGTAATAGTCAATGTTTACAAACTCGCATTTCCTTCCCCAGAGAGCTCAACCGAAATAAGTTTTCAGGGGGCATATATATATATATATATATATATATATATATATATATATGAAGAAATATAGTTTTAAGGTGTGTTATATTTATGAAACAAAGTCCTCAATATCAGAGATAGAGCGTATGCAAATATAAAAGTGAACATTGAAGTCAACACTCAGGCTGTTTCATGCTAGACGCAATCGTCAGGCCGCCCTGACGATTGGGTCTAGCATGAAACAGTTCAATGTTCACTTATATATATATGAAAAAATTAGGACATCAGCTGATCATGCTACCTTGGTTTCAATCTTTCGGTATCTTCAGGCGATCCGGGCTATATAATTACTTAGCACTTTATTATTTAAAAATAAATATATAAACGCACATCACAAAGCGTAATAGAAGTGGGGGAGAAAAGCAAGGGTATTGAAATTGTATCGAAGGGGGTTTGTATGAAACTGAACTGGGTAAAATAAGCCAAGAAATATTGGAAAAAATATGCGACTCGTTAAGAATTGTTACACAAGCCAATCAATGGAAGGACACAAGTGAGTGCATTTCTTGGTTCCACAAAATCACAAATAAAAACAAATATGTATTTATAAAATGCGACATTAAAACCTTTATCAATCTATATCTAAAAATAAGGTCTGCTGGAGGCTTTGCACTCCGCCAGAGTCTTTCTAAACATAACATCTAATCAAGCGGAAATAATTTTACATTGCCGCAAATCAATTTTATTCCACAATGAAGTAACCTGGTTTAAGAAGTCAAAAAAGACGGCTTCGATGTACCACAAGGTTCGTTTGATGGAAGTGAGGTTTCGGAGTTAATGTCCTACATATGAAATTAACAAAATTTTACAGATGCAAAAGAAATTGGAATAAAACAGCCGATACGTTTAAATGACACAAGCATAGAGCATGTTTTTGTCACCATCCAAATCGACCAATAGTTGTCTGCATGACAGCGTAGATTCTCCAGTTACAAATAAAGAATCGGCTTTTTCCGATAGATTTACGATTTCCCTGAAAGACATAGAAAATCAAGCAAAATATTTTGATGAATTTATGGGTTCATATAAATTATTTTGCATTCAAAATGTTCGAAAATTAGGCATCAATCTGATAATTTAACTGAGTGACATAATGTCATAAAAACCCAGGAAAATAATTTGCTGGCTGAATAATGATGCTCTGAATTTGTACCAACAAAGAGCTGTGTCTAAGAAAGGCTGCGATCTTTGCATCACCCTAATAATAGAACAAATAATCTCTGTTTAGTTATCGTTATTGTCCATTTTGTCGGTTGGTTTTTGGTTGGATTCTGCTTATAAAAGAACTCGACGTCAAATTCTACTCAATCCTGTTTTGTAGTCGGTAAGAAAAAAAAAGAAAGAAAGAAAGAAATTCAATATAGAAAAAGAGTGAAAGAAATGCAAAAAAAAAAAACGGAAAAGAAAATAAAGATATTCAAAAAATGAAGGGAAAAGAAAGAAAGAAAGAACGAAATCCAATATAAAAAAAGAGAGAAAGAAATGGAAAAAAGGAGAAGAAAAGAAAGAAAGATGTTCAAAAAATGGAGGGAAAAGAAAGAAAGAAAGAAAGAAATGCAAATAAAAGGAAGGAAAGACAGAAAGAAATCCAATATAGAAAGAGAGAGAAAGAAATGCTGAAAAGAGAAGAAAATGAAGAAAGATATTCAAAAAATGAAGTGAAAAGAAAGAAATGCAAAAAATGAAAGAAAGAAAGAAAGAAATTGAAAATAGAAAAAGAGAGAAAAATACAAAAAAGGAGAAGAAAATAAACAATAATATTCAAAAAATGAAAGCAAAAAAAAAAAGAAAGAAAGAAAGAAAGAAATCCAATATAGAAAAAGAGAAAAAGAAATGCATCTCGTACCGTCACTTCATACATGGTTTTCCTTATTCCTCCTTCCTTCTCAGCATTCAACCTCAGCCTCCTTCCCAGGGCAGGCATAACTACATAATATCCAGAGACGGAGCCCTTATATTAGAGAAAGAAAAATACTTCAGCGCTGGAACGAATATATCGGAGATACCTTCCACGACGAAAGAGAACAACCGGCAATACACAAGAATACCGACGAAAGTATAAAAAACCGAAGTGGAAGCTGCGCTGGTCTAATTGAAAATAAACAAAGCGGCAGGGCTAGACGGAATTGTAATAGAGAGACTGGCAGCCTTAGACGATTTCGGCATAGACAAGATCACAGAAATATTAAATGAAATCTACAACAATGGTGATATACCGGAAGACTTAAGCAGCTCTATTTTCATAGCACTGCCTGAGAAACCAGCCGCAAACGAATGTGAACTCCGCCGGACAATCAGCCTATTGAGGTGCATAATAAAACTCATTATTCGAATTCTGATGAATCACGCAGCAGAATCATTCCAGAGATAGGACAAGAACTTTGCTCATTCAGCAAATATACTGGAACCAGGAACGCCAGATTTATGCGCAGGATATTATCAGAAAGAGCAATACGAAAGCAGAAGGAATGGCACCTGTGTTTTATAGACTACGCAAAAGCGTTCGACACAAAAGTACGCCACAAAGATCTGTTAGACCTGCTCAGCAACTTTTACATATTCGGGAAAGATATTAGAATAATCAAATATCGAAACTAACAGCAAAACCGCCTGCATACGAATAAAAAAAAATGAGAACAGCAAATATACAAAAATAGAAAGGTGTGTAAAACAAGGATTTGTTTTTTCAGTGGACTTATTCAATCTATACAATGAAGCAATACTGAGAGAACTAGAAATCCTACCAGGATTTATCACTGACAGTCACAATTTTAACAATATAAGATATGCAGATGACACGGTGCTGATAGCAGGAGATACGGAAAGAAAAATACAAAACCTCCAACATGAGGTAGCGAAGGGTAGCGAAAAGAAAGGACGAAGCATAAAATACAAGAAGACAGAATTCCTGGTCCTCAGCAAAAATACGAGCCCAAAATGCAAATTAGAGTTCGGGAATGCTAAAATCAAGCAAATACAGTAATCTGAATATTTGAGAATTGCTCTAACAGAGGACGAAAATTGCAGCACTGAGATCCGAAGACGCACTAGGGTGGCAAAAGACGCATTCAAAAAGAAAAAGAGTACTCAACTGTTACGTGATAACTGACGTGATATCAGAACAGGGTTTGGGAGAAATATCAAAAAGACAAAACTTATTAAGAGCTATAAGAGACCGGAGGATGTGGAGGGCCATGATGCCTACGTCTTGAATGGAAAGAAGAAAACATCTCTTAATACTTTGCTTATCTTTGGGAAGGCATCGTTCACTATTCCAATATCCCTGCTGATTTCAGCGTCATGTTTTCTGCCGTCTATTACGACACTATTCCGATAGTAAAATCTGTTCCTGCTTGATTCGTAGCTCCCACCATGGATTGTCCCTCTTGCTAATGACCATTCTATCTTTTGACAGTTCATAGTCTTTTCTACTCGATTTCTTTTACAACACTCTCCAGTTAGATAGATAGATAGATAGATAGATAAATAGATAGATATGAACAGAATAAATATGAACAAACTAGATAGATAATATGAATAGACTAAGATAGATAGATAGATAGATAGATAGATAGATAGATAGATATGAACAGACTGAGAAAGACAGATAAATAGATAGATACAAACTGTGATAGATAGATAGATAGATAGATAGATAGATAGATAGATAGATAGATAGATAGATTGACTGACTGACTGATATGTACAAACCGAGATATGTTAGCTAGTTAGCTAAACAGATAGATAGTGAGCGACAAACAAAATCGATGAACCGAAATGAATTGGACATATATAAAGAATTAGGCGACCAAAGAATAGTAGATAGATAGATAGATAGATAGATAGATAGATAGATAGATAGATATGACGTCAGATAGATAGATAGATAGATAGATAGATAGATAGATAGATATGACGACTGACATAAATTGATAATGTACAGTTTTAGATACATATCAACTGAAGAGACATAGATAGATAGATAGATAGATAGATAGATAGATAGATAGATAGATAGATAGATAGATAGATATGACGTCAGATAGATAGATAGATAGATAATGACGACTGGGATTGATAGATAATGTAGTTTTAGATATATATCAACTGAAGAAACATAGATAGATAGATAGATAGATAGATAGATAGATAGATAGATAGATAGTGTTTTAACAGAGGACGGAAAGTGCGACACTGAAATCCGTAGGTGCACTGGGATTGCGAAAGACGCCTTTCAAAAGCAAAAAAAAAATTTGTAATGAAACGAAAATTTCGTTAAAAACGAAGAAGTGTACTGAACTGTTACGTAACAGCAGTCCTCCTATATGGCCTTGGATCAAGAAAGAGAGAATTGAGATTCCTAGGACACATAATGAGAAAAGAGCCTTGGAAATTTTGATACGTACAGTACAGATTGAAGGCAAGAGAGCCAGAGAAAATCAATGCATAACCTACCAAGTAAGCTGGTGTAAATCGATGACAGGATCGGATTTAGGAGAAATAACAAAAAGGCAGAATTTATTAAGAACTATAACAGACAGGAAATTCTGTATAGCCATAATCGCCAATGTCCTGAAGATAAAAATCCAAATAAGAATCTGCAGTGTTATTAGGTCCTGACCTGGCATCTCGGCTTCAGTTTCTTTCCCACTGCCGTAATGTCACTTCTCTGTGCCTTTTCTATAAATACTTTCATATCAATTCTTTTGACGAACGTCCCTCTATAATACAAATTGTACATGTGGGAATTAGTTAGGACTTCATAGAGACTTGGAGGTATTACGGTGGCTGTAGTAACAATTCTAAGTAAGAATGTGTTGTTTTGGTGTAAGGAATACTGTGTTATGCTTGGGTCAGTAATCGTGGCTAGCTAAGTTTAATTATAAAACATAATAAGACCAGCCTTTCTTTATCCCCGCTTTTGGCTTTGTGCCAAATTTTTGTATTATAACAAAATAAATATTACTTTCCTCTATGATACAAACTTTACATGTGGGAACTACTTAAGACCTCATAGAGACTCTGAGGTATTACGATGGCTGTAGTAAGAATGGTAAGTAAGAATGTGTTGTTTTGGTGTAATCACATTTTTGTATTTTCAACATAAATATTACTTTCCGCTATGGTAACTAGATTTTATAAATTTAAGCGCAGAACTAGATTGGTGGTAAGGTCTCATCTTTTTAAAGTTGAAATGGCTAGATGTAAACGCAAGTTCTATGCTAACAGTTTCTTCCCTCATAATTCTCAGTTGTGGTAATCTCGTTTGACTTTTGCTTTCCAATCAATTTTTGGTCTTCAAAAATTTAAATGCGATGTCAATCGTTATCTTTTTAATTCGTATTCGTTTATAGTTCTCTCTTCTTAATGTTTTTTTTCTCATATTTTCTAACACTCAGTAACACCTTGCGTCTTAGTGGCTTTATTGCCTTGCTTGGGGTGAAATGATTAAAAATATTTTAAGATAGTTCACACCTCTTCTAGTTCTTTTAAGATCACCTCGCTGTATATTAATGGTAATCGTAGCCGTTTCCTTATAAGGAAGCATTAGGTATTTATTGACCAATCAGCCAGTATTGCTCTTGTTGGAATTTATAAAATCTTTCTCTTAAAACATTTTTTCAGGAAAACTGCTTTCTCAATTCCAGTAGCTGTTATCGCTCTTTCCAGTATTGATGGGAGTTTCCTTCCTAACCTTTTGTTTGAAGTAGTGTGGAACGTCAACGTCTTGATTATGTTCTTATTTTCTCTTCTAGTTACATCTGTTATCCATTTTAGTGATGTGGTTTCTGTTATTTGGTACAGTACTTTGTTTGTGATTATGTAGCGCCAGTTCATGAGGTTTGAAGCCACATCCTGAATTTTCATGATGGATGCAAGATAGGTACCATCACTGATTTCATTCCAATTCCAGATCACATTTTCTTTTTTATCTTGGTAGATTATGTTGATTTTCTCTTCAAGATTATTCTTAATCCAACTATGAATACCTATGTCATCAGCATAGCCCCCTTCCCCCGCTAATAATCAGTTCAATGGCCTCGTCGGAGAGCAGGATCGTTGTCGTCTATTGATAGACTCGTTTGGGATGTGGTATGAAATACTTAAATGATCAGTGCCCATCTGATCACATCTGTATTTGTAAATTCACAGGACATAGTCTAAGCAAAGATTAAATAGACTGCGGCTTTCATTTCCTCCGTATCGTACTCCTCATGAAGTTTGAAATGTTTCAAGTATTGGGATCCTCGCCAGACATGTTGCTAATTCTACATAATTCATCTGTGTGAGCGATTTAGTGGTTCAGTTCGCAACTGAAATGTTTGACTCTCATACATTTCTCTTCGAGTTGCATATGCTATTCATTTTAGTTGTTGCTGTTGTTGGTAGTCCTCAAGTGATGTAGTTTCTGTCATTTGGTACAGTTCTTTGTAATCTATAGCGCCAGTCGACAATATTTTAAGAAGGATGATCTTTGCCAAGACCCTTCACTCGCTCAAGGCCTTTTTTTTAACCAATGATTCTTAGAAAGTTTAGATATTTCTGAACGGGTTTGCCTTCATGCACGACATCCATATCAAAGTCTCCATTTGTCGAGGCTCTTGAAAAACATGACTCGGGTTTTCAGGTTGATGTTTTGCTTTTGCAGCAATTTTCTCTGTTGAGAAAAAAAAACTTCCTCTGGCGCTGCCTATTCTATTTCGCAATTACTTTTTCTTCCATATTAAATTTGTTATCAATGATCCATACGCCAAGGTATCCGAAATGTTTGGGATTTACTAATTCCACATCTTGACGCTTTACGATAGATCCGGTGTTAGATGCCATCACCGGTTTCATTCCAGTTCCAGATCTCATTTTCTCTTTTGGAAAGGTTTATCTTGGTAGATGGTGTTGAATTTCTCTTCAGGATTATTCTTATCCCAGCTATGAATACCTATGTCATCAGCATACCCCCCACTCCAGTCTCATCATAAGTACAGTGGCCTTGGAAGGAAAAGCAGGATCGTTGTCTTTTATTGATAGATTCAATTGGGATGTGGTATGGAATGCTTAAATAGTCAATGCTAATCTCTTCAAATATGCACTTGTATATACACAGAGCGTAGGCAAGGGTATAGTTTGTATAAATGAGATGAGAAAACGCCATCTGCCTCGTACGCTTCTTTCTAGTTTTCCATACTTGTTCAACTCGTTTTCTCTCGGTTCTTGTGAGTTCAATCCCTGGCCACAGCAGAGCTGATAAAGAACATGGAGAGTTGAGTTACTAAAGGGAAATAACTGAAACTGAAATATCTAGAAAAGGCATGGCATTTGAAATGTGAACAGTACACCCCAATGGAAGAAATAAAGGGTTCAATTCGAAATTTCACCGTATATCACTTGAAGAAGGCCGAAGAGTACAACAGCCGACACGTTGTGAATATGACAATAAAGATGAAGACAACAGTCCGAACAATGTAAATAGTGTCAACTTCTTAGAAACTATTTAATTATTAGATTATTTATTGATGCTATTTATTAGATTGTTTATTGATGCTATTTATTGGAAAGTTTATTAAAGCTATTTATTAGATTGTTTATTGATGCTATTTATTAGATTGTTTATTGATGCTATTTATTGGATTGTTTATTGATAGTATTTATTGGATTGTTTATTGATGCTATTTATTAGATTGGTTATTGATGCTATTTATTAGATTGTTTATTGATGCTATTAGAATGTTTATTGATGCTATTTATTGGATTAACTATTGATGCTATTTATTAGATTGTTTATTGATGCTATTTATTGGATTCTTTATTAAAGCTATTTATTAGATTGTTTATTGATGCTATAAGATTGTTTATTGATGCTAATTATTGATTTATTTATTGATGCTATTTATTGGATTGTTTATTGTTGCTATTTATTGGATTGTTTATTAAAGCTATTTATTAGATTGTTTATTGATGCTATTTATTGGATTGTTTATTGATGCTATAAGATTGTTTATTGATGCTATTTATTAGATTGATTGTTTATTGATTGCTATTGATGCTAATTGGATTTGCTATTTTTATTGATTGATGCTGCTATTTATTAATTATTGTTTATTGATGCTATTTATTGATTGTTTATTGATGCTATTTTTATTGGATTATTTATTGATGCTATTTTTAAATTGGATTGATTCTTTATTGATGCTATTTAAGATTGTTTATTGATGCTAATTATTGGATTATTTATTGATGCTATTTATTGGATTGTTTATTGATGCTATTTATTATTGGATTGTTTATTGATGCTATTTATTGGATTGTTTATTTTTGCTATTTATTGGATTGTTTATTGATGCTATTTATTAGATTGTTTATTAAAGCTATTTATTGGATTGTTTATTGATGCCATTTATTGGATTCTTTATTGAAGCTATTTATTAGATTGTTTATTGATGCTATAAGATTGTTTATTGATGCTAATTATTGGATTATTTATTGATGCTATTCATTGAATTGTTTATTGTTGCTATTTATTGGATTGTTTATTGATGCTATTTATTAGATTGTTTATTGATGCTATTTATTGGATTGTTTATTGTTGCTATTTATTGGATTGTTTATTGATGCTATAAGATTGTTTATTGATGCCAATTATTGGATTATTTATTGATGCTATTTATTGGATTGTTTATTGATGCTATTTATTGGATTGTTTATTTTTGCTATTTATTGGATTGTTTATTTTTGCTATTTATTAGATTGTTTATTGATGCTATTTATTGGATTGTTTATTTTTGCTATTTATTGGATTGTTTATTGATGCTATTTATTAGATTGTTTCTTGATGCTATTTATTGGATTGTTTATTGATGCTATTTATTGGATTGTTTATTGATGCTATTTATTAGATTGTTTATTGATGCTATTTATTGGATTGTTTATTGATTGCCGTTGCGAAGAAGCTCGCGTGTCACAATGATTCTATGTTTGACCCACTAGCCCATGCTAAAGATCCTCTCAAAAATAAAGATGTAACAACAATATTGAAGACCAACACTGATATTCAATGCTAGAACACTTTGAAGAACTACTGACCCTGACCGTCACCTTTGGTAGAGATATTATGCACTGTCTTCCAAGACATCCTATTGACGAGTCCCTAAATAAGGACCAACACTTGATGAAGTCAGGGAAGCCATCAAAGCTATGAAGAAAAACAAAGCCTGTGGACGAGACAGAATTCGAGCAGAGGTCTACAAATATGGAGGCGATCTTATTCAACACTGACTTCATCAACTCATCTTGAAAATCTGAACAAATAAAGCCGTTCCACAATATCTCAAAGACTGAGTAATAATTACCATCTATAAAAAGACAGGAAACCAATATGTCTGCGGAAATTACTGTGGAATATCTCTAATCTTAACAACTGGAAAAATTCTCGCCAATCTCATGAATAACCAACTCTGAGAGGATTCTTACAGAAACACAATCCGGTTTCAGACCATCCCGTGGAACAAGAGATATGATCTTCACATTGCACCAACTAGAAGAGAAATATCGTAGATAGTTATCAACCGTTACACATAGCATTCATTGACTTAAAAAAAAAAGCATTTAACTGTATCAAGAGAGTTCTTATGGGATATTCTCTCTATATATGTTTGTCCACCAAAACACATCCATATCCTGATGCTCTTTCATGATAGCCTTCGCCAATGAGAACCGTTCCAAGTCAAATTTGGTGTGAAACAAATATGTGTCATTCCTCCAGCTTTGTTCATAATCTTCATTACAACAGTGAATGGCACTGTAAAAGATGATCTGCCTCTAAGGATTGAGATTGTCTACAGGACAAACGGGAGATTATTCAACTCAGACCGTCTTCGCTCCAAAACCTAAGCATCAGTGAGTTCACTGATCCACTTTCTATATGCAGATGACAACAATGTTGCAACACTTTCTGAACAAATACTGAATGCCTTCAATAATGCATACACCAAACTTGCACTAAAAAATCAACGCAAATAAGACAAAAATCATTTATCAATCATCACTAATTGAAACAGTCCGGACAGAACCAAAGTACCAACTTGGTAAAACAGTCTTAAAGAATTTGGATCCCTTTCTTTATCTTGGTAGCCATCAGTCTTCTAGCATTGACCTTCAAGATAAGATACAACCCTGTCACGCTGGATCAGCTTTTGCTCGACTTCGAAATAGATTTTTCCTGAATCATAGCATCAGTGGCTAGAGTAGAGAATAGCGGACCATATAGTAATAGAGGATAGACTAGAAATGACGATCCGAATAGTAATCAGTATTTTATATAGTAATCTATAGTTTTTTGTGATGTCAACGAACACTCGGTTGACACTTTTGTGATGCCAACGAATAATCGTTGTCACATTCGTTGTAGTAGAGACTTTGAAGATTACTAGTGTCCTACGCTATCGAACATCACTCGCACTAATAGTACTTTGCTCTATAATCCTCACTCAAATAGTAATCCATATAGTGATCCGAATAGAGAAATAGGGTGAAGAGAGTAGAGAAATAGTATAGACTAGAAAGGGTGATTTGTATAGTAATAGATGATAGAATAGAAATAGCGATCCGAATAGTATAGAGGATAGACTAGAAATGCAGATCAGTCCCTTTCCGGGACATATCAAATGTATAAACCAAAAAATGGCATTTTGCTGTTGTCATCTATTAGCTTGTTTCTGGTGTTCTGTGAATGCTCTCGAAGAATAATCTTTCGTGGCATTTTTTGCTTTTAAGTAACTCTGGTCATTCTGTGAGACTGTTGTCTAATGTTACTGGAATGTTATTTCAGATTGGACACACCTTTGAGGTGGAATGCTAAGTAGACAAGAACTTGTGTGTTTTGACATCTGCTTCTCTTTGTTTTCATTAAGGTCACAAATCTGTGACAGGTAGTCAAGACATTTCTGCTGTGAATTGGAGATGACTTCATTATCGACAGAATTAAATGAAATGCTTCAAAACAACCAAATGGTCAAAGCTAAGCTGTATGTTGAACAAATGAACAGCCTCAAAGAGGCAATACAGCTAAAAAAGACCTGATCGGTGATATAGTATTGATATGTCCCAGAAAGGGATATATTTGAACGAAGTAGCTAAGTGGTTTTGGCTACTATAACCAAGTAGAATAGGGTAGCAGTAATCGACTGGTACGCGTCGTAGTTGCAGGTAAGAAGTGTAGATCAATGGCGTAGTCCAGTGTGCGTAGTTATAGACTTAGCTCTCAGACTAAGGCTCTTGGCTCTGTCGTATCTACACGTCCGTCGGTATTTATGACGGACACCAGCCAATCATATTCCAGTGAGGGGGAACACAGGTGTATACATATTCCATTACATCAAGTACTAGCTGCATGGCCCGGCGTTTCCCGTGCTTGATTCAAAAATCGTACGACTCATAGAGCAAAAACCACCCAAAACAATAGAAGCCAGTCTAAACTGTTATTTACTGTGAATTAATACCTTTTCCAAAGGTATTAGTGAATGTAATGGATCAGACTGGAATTCGAACTCGGCTCTCCGATTCCTCTATCTGAGACGCTATCCATTACTCTGGATCGATATACACCTGACGAAGAGCATAAATGTCGAAACGTTGTGATAACAACAAAAATTAAATTTCTTTTTAATCATTTCCCCCAAGCAAGGCGATAATGCCACTAAGATGCAAGAGGTTACGGGGAGTGAAAGAGAATGAGATTGTAGAAGAAGGATTCGGGAACACAATCCTAAACTGGAAACAAGGGGTAAACCTGTTGCGGTCAGCATTTGGGAAAAGGTAGAAATTTAGGGGTTTGCGTTTTCTTATTGTTGCATCGTTCTTTATGTTCTTTGGTGAATATTTCCCCCCTCTGCCACAATCAATAATATGAAATTGAGAGTCAGTTTGGTTTGGTTTATTTTGTTTTACGACATATCAATATGTATTCTTTGGTTTAGATTGGTTACACTATGAAAGTGTAAAAATGGCCACTATTTACATTATTCGGACTATTGTACTCATCTTTGTCGCCATATTTATCACAACGTTTCGGCCGTTGTACGCTCCGGCCTTCTTCAGTTGGTTGCAATGTGAAGTGAACCCTTCGCTGGGGTGGACTGTTCTAGTTCCACGTGCCATGTCTAATGGATGTCATTTATCAGTTATCTCCTGTTAATTCCCCTCTCCACGTTCTCCACTGCCTTAACCGGGTATTGAACTCACAATATATAAACAGATAGTGTAAAAATGGGTTTTAATCCCAGAAAGACTTTGTAAAAATATTATTGACAGCAATAGATTTTTGAAGGAAAAATATTACCAGCAATAAAAATGTCGGTATTAAATAACCCATTGAGGTTGATATGCCGTAAAACAAAATAAACCAAACTAATCTAAACCAAAGAATACATATTCTATTCATACGAATATATCCTAAAAATGATGTCGGCACTAAATAACCCATTGAGGTTGATATGCCGTAAAAGAAAATAAACCAAACGAAACCTTTAAGGTGATGACGTTGATGACTGAGTAGATCAATTCTTGCACTGAAGAGCCGATGACATTGACTATATAATAATGTTGGTGGAGGACAAGATTGAGTTTGTCGAGCCTTTCTCTCTTGTTTGACATTTTCCTTTTCTCTTCTGATGGATTCAGCGTTTTTCGTTTGAATGGTGATAGAGCATTGCCAATTCGTACGGCCTTGTGCTTGTGTTTCAAACGATTTAGGCTCAAGTCCGGTGGATTTCAGCGTTATTTTGAGTTGGTCCTTGTTCCTTCGAAGAGGGACCCCGTGGTCTTTTCCCTGAAGTAAACTCACTTAATAACCAAAATCTTTGTTCTATCTTGAACATCAAATGGAATGACTATGTGACCAACACCAAAGTCCTGGAAAGAGCCATTAGTCAAAGCATTCAATCACTGATCATTAAACACCGTCTTTGATAGTCAGGATTTGTATTAAAAATGGAAGGGTCAAGGTTTCCTCTTCAAGTCTTATACTAATTTATACTTATATCTAAATATATATAAGACTTATATATGTCTTATAAATATATATGTAATAATAATATATATATATATATATATATATATAATATAATATATAATATATATATATATATAATATATAATATAATATATATTATATAATATATATATATATATATATAATATATAATATAATATATATATATAATATATAATATAATATATAATATAATATATAATATTAATATATAATATTATATATAATATATATTATATAAATTATATATAATATATAAAATTATATAAATTATATATAATATATAAAATTATATAAATATATTATATAATATAGAAATATATAAATATATTATATATATATAAAATTATATATATATATAAATAATATATATTATATAATATTGATATATAATATAATATATAATAATATAATATGAATATATAAGTATAGATAAGACTTATATATAAGTCTTATACTAATTTCTATCTTCCATACCTGGTCAATGGTTGATATTTCATTAGATTAAACAGTCTTGGAAATAATCTTTAGTTCATATATACAGAGTAACCAAGGTTCTCGGCCATGATTTGTTCTAAAACCGAATTGTTCATGATCCGAATCATTTTTCCCCATTACAAAAAGACAAACTTAAATAAAATTGGGGAAAAAGCACAGCACAACACACGACTGTTTACAACACAGCGGTCGACTCAGAAATGATTCTGTTCGGAATAACTCGGCTCGCCTCGGTTCGGCCATGTTGTTCAAGAACCGAAATTTTGTTCCATTGTCGTAGTATTTTCAGCTGGAATTTTCGTCTCGAAAACCGATTTGTTCGACATGTGAGACGTTCGAGAACCGAGGTTGCTCTGTATATGAGTTTCGGATTAAGTATCAGACAGGATGATGAGATAAAAAACGTTTCATATTTGTTCTTTATATTATCATATATACATATACATACATACATACACATATGTGTGTGTGTGTGTGTGTGTGTGTGTGTATTGGGGGAAATGTATGACAAAATGGGGAAAAAGTTATCGAGTGACGCGTTTCGCCCCTTAGGACTTCATCGGACTAAATTTGTTACACTGGTGCGACTGCACATGCGCACGACCGAGGAATGCTGGGAATTTTTAATTTTTTTTTTTTTCTGTCTATAATCTAGCCAACATCATTTAGATTCTTTTTTCTTTTTCTTTCCATCACTTTTCTTATTATAAGATTCCACTATGGGATAATAGAAGATCTGTCAGGAATGGCCTAATCGCAACAATGTAACAAATTTAGTCCGATTATGTCCTAAAAGACGCAAACTTTTTCCCACTTCGTCATACATTTCTTACCCCTAATATTGTTCTCGATATATAATAATTTATATATTTTTCGTATATAAGCTCGACCCATCCTCATTCCATTTGTATTTCATTGGTAAAGAAGAAGTTCCACTCAGACTCTCTCTCTCTCTCTCCCTCTCTCTCCCTCTCTCTCCCTCTCTCTCCAGAACAGTTACTTTGTAGGACAAAAAGCCAAGAGGATGCTTCTCCGG